ACTGCAAAGATCCAAGTAGAGAAATGATAAAGGAATTGAAACAAGTAAATCTTCTCATCCCCTCTCACAGTGGGGAAATCTGCAAGTCATAGACTTCTGTTGCAATTCTCTCCCACTATATGTCCCTGGCATGGGGATTTTAAATTATTATTGGCTAGTACAAATGTCTGCTAGTCTAACCTACACAGTGAGTGGCATGGCAAAACTGTTTCTGAACTTTGCCACCCATGCACTGATTTATTTTTACAGTTCATATATCACTTAACATAAACATCTCTAAGTAGTTTATAAGAATAGTGTAATTGTAAAATCAATCGTAAAAATCTAACAGAGACATAATCACAACTCTGGGCAGTGTAATAAGAAAAAAACATTTCAATGATCATGGAAAGACCAAATAAACAAAACTAAGGCAAACTAAGGCCTGGGGGCTGGATCCAGCCCAATTGCCTTCTAAATCTGGCCCACAGATGGTCCAGGAATCAGCGTGTTTTTACATGAGTAGAATGTGTCCTTTTATTTAAAATGCATCTCTGGGTTATTTGTGGGGCATAGGAATTTGTTCATTTATTTTTTTCCAAAATATAGTCTGGCCCCCCACAAGGTCTGAGAAACAGTGGGCCGGCCCCCTGCTGAAAAGGTTTGCTAACCCCTGTCTAGACTCTCCTATGTGGGGACTATACACACACACACACACACACACACACACACAATGAGTACATAGGGCAGCTCAGAAGCAAGGCTAGTATATGGTGGTCAAAATTTTGGCAAACGTGCTGCAAATCAAGTTTAGATTCTCGGATGATGCTGTTCTGCTGTACAACTACTGTTTTTGATGTGGCTTTGGGCAAATGGAACTGAACCATTACATGTCTCCACATGTCCCTGTCCATGCGTTAAGTTCTTCATCAGAGGACCTTCTCAGGGTTCCCCTGCCATCTTGGGGGCACAGTGGGTCCTTACCTTGCAAAGTATCTCCAACACAGTTATTGTTACTGTAAGGCATCAGAAGATCTCTTTGGAGGTTGGTGGACATAAATTCCCAATAGGGGTGATTAATATGCTACAAAATGTTTTAGCCAAGGATTATAAATTTGCTTAAGGTGGAAGTTGGAGCTTTGGGGACATTTGGATTTGAAAGGAGTAAGAAACAAGATTCGAGCTCCACTTTTAAGTATGGAGGTCTGGCTGGAAGAATTTGTTATTTGTATGAAAATTGGGGAATTCGTGGAAGGGAATTTGGGTCGACTTTAGAAAAATGTTTTTAAGAATGAGTACTGATGTATAAGTATTGATGCTTAAGTTTGGATAAGGCAAAAGTGGTTTTATTAAAATTAACTAAATAGAAATAGGGATAAGGACTTGTTGAACTAACAATTTGAATTGGAATATAAGAAGGGGAGGTGTGGGGAAGTCAGGAAAATATGTTATAGAAAAATAAGGACTGTGAACTTTATGTGTTTTTAAACTTTTTTGTTCTTTCTTTTTTGATTTTTTTAAATGTATTAAAGTTGAAAATTTCAATAAATATATTTTTTAAAAAACAAAAAAAAAAACAAAATGTTTTAGCCAAGTAAACATTTCAGAAGAAACCCAAAGAGTACAGCGTAGTCAAGTCCGCAAGTCTCCTGTTCCTATCCGTTAATGCCACAAACGTCTCAACCTTTGCCACTCCTAACAGCAACATACAGATTAGTCACCCAGATTGGCAGATCATTGGCCACACAGGTAATTTGCTGTTCTGCTGCTTGTGTGGGTGTTTTCCTAGTAGCAGTGAAAACACTCCTTAGGCCATGTCAGGAATTTGTTAAATATATATTTGGGCATTCGAGTGACTAAGAGTTTGGGATGGTTGTAGCATGCTGTCCTAATGAATGAGTGAATGAGTATGTTTGTGCTTTTTTCTTTCCACTGGGTGTCGCTGTAGCACCATTAAAAATATTTAAATAGGGCATTAAAATATGCTGTGTTTGAATATTTCTTCTAGCATTTAGCCTAAATGATGTTTCATAACCAGAAAGTTAATATTTCCGAATTTGCTTTGAAAATGGTAATTTTGTTTCATAGCCCTGATGAATTAGTTCTTTTGTGAACTTTTAATTTTATTTAAAATGGTATTGTCATACAATTTATCTTTTTTTAAAAAAAATAAATAATAATTTCCCACCTAGTTTAAAAACAATAAAACAAAGTGAGGGATAAATGTGAAACACATTTTTATGGACAGTAGACATAAATAATATAGATGACTGGTGTGTCTTGCACTTCACGGAAGTAATAAAACCTGAGGAAAGGAGCTAAAAAGAAGGGAGGAAAGGAAAGCATAAAAATATCAATAGAATTCCACAAAAAACTGCACCATTTCAACATAGTCCATAATTAGTGTTTTTTATTTTATTTCCTCATTTCTACCATAAAATATTGATAATAGCACCAGCCGAGGTGTAGCTTGAACAGGCTATCTAAGAATATTCCTTATTTCAAAAAATTTTGGATCATAACACCCGTGCCAGAAGGCACTCCCACCACAAATAAAAAGACATTCCTCTATTTCCACATCCTTTCCAACAACTGGAAGATTGACTGGAGGTGATGCGGAAGAGTTGAATGGGTGTATAAACGCCATCTGTAATTTATTTTTACTGCAAAGTTCCATTGTTCTGGCTGGTACTGAATTAAAAATATTTCCCCTCCAGAACCTTTTTCATATATTCTCTACATTCTGCAATGTTCCCTTGCAGGTTTGTTTTCCATGTAAGTGCCAAGCTATTTGCATATACATTAAGTACGTTATTATATCTTGCTCTACAGTTTACGTACAAATGCTTATAATTTGTACTATTGTACTGTTGTTGTTGTTGTTGTTTAGTCGTTTAGTCGTGTCCGACTCTTCATGACCCCATGGACCAGAGCACGCCAGGCACCTCTGTCCTCCACTACTTCCCACAGTTTGGTCAAACTCATGCTGGTAACCTCGAAAACAGTATCCAACCATCTCGTCCTCTGTCGCCCCCTTCTCCTTGTGCCCTCCATCTTTCCCAGCATCAGTGTCTTCTCCATGGAGTCTTCTCTTCTCATGAGGTGGCCAAAGTACTGGAGCCTCAGCTTCACAATCTGTCCTTCCAGTGAGCACTCCGGGCTGATTTCCTTAAGAATGGAGAGGTTTGATCTTCTTGCAGTCCATGGGACTCTCAAGAGTCTTCTCCAGCACCAGAATTCAAAAGCATCAATTCTTCGGCGATCAGCCTTCTTTATGGTCCAGCTCTCACTTCCATACATCACTACTGGGAAAACCATAAATCTACTATTGTACTATAAATCTACCATTGCAGATCTTTAGATATAGGGATATTGCGCACATAACATAAAGGATTATGTGTGACCTTGATTTATGGCTTAGTGCAAGTGTGCAGTGTGCAGGCTCTGGAAAAGGAGATGGCAGCCGATTTGCTGCTTCCTGGACATTTTGGTTGCAGCTCGTGGTTAGTCTGGAAAAAGCTGAGCCACAAGTCCAGGTTTGGATGATTCCCTAAGTCAAACTAAGCTCAGTTTGGTGCAACAGCAAAACTACCACAGTCTCTTGGTGGTTCGGCTTTAGGTGTTGTGCAAACCAAGCCTATGTCTGCTTACAGCAATGCCTTATCTAGTACAGTGGAACCTCGGGTTAAGTACTTAATTCATTCCGGAGGTCCGTTCTTAACCTGAAACTGTTCTTAACTTGAAGAACCACTTTAGCTAATGGGGCCTCCTCCTGCTGCTGCCGCGCCGCCGGAGCACAATTTCTGTTCTCATCTTGAAGCAAAGTTCTTAACCTGAAGCACTATTTCTGGGCTAGCGGAGTCTGTAACCTGAAGCGTATGTAACACGAGGTACCACTGTATCGTAAAGTAGATTAAATGAAGCCAGTTATTAAATTGTCCTATTTTTAATCTTCTGTCTCTCAACAGTATACATCCCATAAACTTTACCATTCCTACTACTCTCTAAATCAGGGGTCAGCAAACTTTTTCAGCAGGGGGCCGGTCCACTGTCCCTCAGATCTTGTGGGGGGCCAGACTATATTTGGGGGTGTGTGTGATGGCTGCATCAATAAGAGTATAGCATCTAGATCAAGGGAAGTAATAGTGCCACTGTATTCTGCTCTGGTCAGACCTCACCTGGAGTACTGTGTCCAGTTCTGGGCACCACAGTTCAAGAAGGACACTGACAAACTGGAACGTGTCCAGAGGAGGGCAACCAAAATGGTCAAAGGCCTGGAAACGATGCCTTATGAGGAACGGCTAAGGGAGCTGGGCATGTTTAGCCTGGAGAAGAGGAGGTTAAGGGGTGATATGATAGCCATATTCAAATATATAAAAGGATGTCATATAGAGGAGGGAGAGAGGTTGTTTTCTGCTGTTCCAGAGAAGCGGACACGGAGCAATGGATCCAAACTACAAGAAAGAAGATTCCACCTAAACATTAGGAAGAACTTCCTGACAGTAAGAGCTGTTCGACAGTGGAATTTGCTGCCAAGGAGTGTGGTGGAGTCTCCTTCTTTGGAGGTTTTTAAGCAGAGGCTTGACAACCATATGTCAGGAGTGCTCTGATGGTGTTTCCTGCTTGGCAGGGGGTTGGTCTCGATGGCCCTTGTGGTCTATTCCAACTCTATGATTCTATGATTCTATGAATTCCTATGCCCCACAAATAACCCAGAGATGCATTTTAAATAAAAGGACACATTCTACGCATGTAAAAACACGCTGATTCCCGGACTGTCCACGGGCCGGATTGAGAAGGCGATTGGGCCACATCAGATTGGTGGGCCTTAGTTTGCCTACCAATGTCTAAATCATTCTTCACTGACCTGGTACCTTCCAGATGCATTGAACTACAAATCCCATTAGCCCCAGCCAGGACGTGCAGGTTGTAGCCCAACAATATGTGGAGGGCCCCTTTACAACCCCCTCTTGGAAATAGTCTACTGTGGGTTCTGGACCACATTTTCTTTTCATTTTCAGGAGAAGTGATTGACTTCACAGTTCAGCATGCTGTTTCTGAAGCCAACGGAGGAAGACCCAACGCTTCGAAGATAGCTGTGATCATTGTATCTGCCCCATCACAAGATTCCGTGGAGGCTGCTGTATATTCTGCAAGAGTCAATAGTAAATATTCTGCCACTAATTTTATTTTTACAGTACAAGGGTATTTTGGAAAGTAACTCCATTTTTTAAAATAAGCCCTGGGAATTGTTGTTGTTAGTGGAACCACATAACTGTGGATATGTTGGGACAAAAGAATGTCTGGCAGAAAAATGATTAAGAGTTCCTTTTTCCTCTACATTGTCTCTATTGCAAAGTACCCCTTTCTGAGACCAGAGGTTTGCAACCATGAAAACATGCAAGTAAATCCCACTCCCTCAATGTCACAGCACACACTGGTCCCGCTCCCAAGCACAGCCTTCCCCTCCCTGGCTCTCTCCAGATGTTTTGCATTCAGACCCTCCAAGTGTCCCTATTTTGCAGGGACAGTCCCACATTTACAGAAGCTGTCCCGGTTTCTAATGCCTTGCTCTACCTTTGGACATCCTATTTTCATTGGAGAAATGTTGGAGGGTATAGAGCTGCATGTGGAGACCCCCAAAACTACCCCCAAAATAAAGACACAATAGACACAGAATTTAGTTTTAGGTTTTTGGCATTAATTTTTGGCATCTTTATTGATTACAGCATGTGAGTGGTTGCTTAGGCATTGGTTCCATACTACCTGAACCTGCACAGTGGCAGGAACAGGACTGACAGTAAGAGCTGTTCGACAGTGGAATTTGCTGCCAAGGAGTGTGGTGGAGTCTCCTTCTTTGGAGGTCTTTAAGCAGAGGCTTGACAACCATATGTCAGGAGTGCTCTGATGGTGTTTCCTGCTTGGCAGGGGGTTGGACTCGATGGCCCTTGTGGTCTATTCCAACTCTATGATTCTATGACACTGGGCACCACCAGAGGTCAGTAAGGGAAAGCATCCTGGGGGAGCGAGAAGCTGGCTTCGATCTCACAGCTCACCCCAGATGCTCCCAGGGGCTCTGGTGTGGCCCTAGCCCCTTGACAGGGTTCGGACAAAAGCAAGGCGAGCCCCTGGATTCCTTTAATGGAATTCCCTAGCAGCAGCGATGGAGGGGCAGGCACAGCCAACCACGTCCCCTCCCCAAAACATTGAACCAGTGCCTAACCACCAACCTTACAAAGTTGTGACGATTTGCTACATGGTAGGCAAAAACAAATGGCAACAGCCAATCAGTCAAATGGCAAAATTCCTATCGGGCCCCTACTCCAAGACAGACAACCCCTAGACAGGCATAGCAAGGCCAAAGAACAGCCCTAAATATAGGGTGGGAGGGCGGGTGATCTGATGCACATCGTGAGAAAGAGAAGCTCTCTAGCTGAGTCCAGCCTCTTAAATAGCCCCTTGGCAGCCAGTAGACACCCAAACCAGCCAAATTTCAGCCCCAGCAACCAAGGGGCAACCAATGGTGTGTTGTGGCTATCCAAACAGTCCTCCCTACAACAGGGAGGCAGTTTATGGTGATCTCACCGCAACATGTGCCCTCCATGATGGAGGACATGATTTATCTGACCCCGTGCCATCTGAAGGTTGCCCTGTATAGGGAAGTTTTTAAATGTTTAATGTTTTATTATAAATGTTTATATATATTGCAAGCAGTTCAGAGTGGCTGGGGCAACCCAGTCAGATGAGTGGGGAATAATAATAATAATAATAATAATAATAATAATAATAATAATAAGTTAAAGAACTTCCAATGAAGCAACCTTCTAAGTGTGTCTTTCAATATCCCAAACTTTTCCTTAGGGGTATCATTGCTTCCCATTGGAGTTGGAGACAGATATGAGAAGGCACAACTGCGGACTTTAGCTGGGCCATCTGTCCCTGACAGGATAATCGAGCTGCAACGGTTTGATGACCTTCCAACTCTGCTGGCACCGGGTGATACATTTTCCAGGAAACTTTGCACAGGTGAGCTTCAGAAAAACAAACCAAAAGAAAACAACATCACCACAACAAGATATCTAAGGGGCACTCTTTGGTTTTTTAATTGCTTCCATTATTCTCAGAAATTGCCGCTCTCTTTTCATAAGCTAGAGGATCCTACTTTGTAGAAGTTCTTCAACTATGCCAGTTCATCACATAGTGAGAGATGAAGAACAAAACTTGTTAAGAAATGGAGACTACGAGCTACGCATTGCCAACTCCCACCCACACTCCCACCCTGGTTATTTATCTGTTTTGTAGCTTAAAACAAATTTTGTCAGAAAGCGAGAAACTTAGAAAGGTCCCAAGCCCAGTATAAGGTCAAGTTGGGTGTGAATAGGGCCACCACTGGTAAGGGTGGACAAATCTGTTCTGTCGTAGTCTGTGGGCATCTTGAGGTCCGTCCCATTCTGCTCCTGGGTGGGTTTTTTAGGATGATTCCGTGACCATAAAAAAGGAAATCAACAGAGTTACACTCTCCATCCCTGTGCTGACCTACCATTCCTAGTTTAGAAGGAAGAGGCTATACAGTGGTGCCTCGCAAGACGAAATTAATTCGTTCCACGAGTTTTTTGTCGTCCTGCGATTTTTTTCGTCTTGCGAAGCACGGTGCCGGGAAAGTTTCGGAAAAGCTTCAAAAAATCACCAAAAGTCTTTAAAAACCTCAAAAAAGGCTACCACACCGCGTTCTATGAGTTGCTCCTCGAAGTCAAGTTGCAACTGTATTAACAGTGTTAAGAAAAAGGAAACAAACTTGCATGACGTTTCCGTCTTGCGAAGCAAGCCCATAGGGAAAAATTGTCTTGCGAAGCAGCTCAAAAAACCAAAAAAACCCTTTCGTCTTGCGAGTTTTTTGTCTTGCGAGGCATTCGTCTTGCGAGGCACCACTGTATAGTCATTTGTTTAGAATATATTTCGGGCTAATTTTCTTCTGAGCTTGTATTTTATTTTATTTTTACAATTACTTTTTATTGAATTTTGTGGATATATCAAAAATTGAGAACATAATAAAAATATGAGGAGCGAAACTTAAAACCCACGAAGGATGATTCCTCAGGATACTACAGCAACAATAACGTATGTTGTGACACGTGGGCGATGCTGAAACCTGTATTTTTTGAACCCAGTTTAGTAATCTTTAGCACCCTGTATAAATGAGATATTCTAAATGTGTAATGATTGCTTCTCTTTCAGAGCCTCTCTTAGAGTGCATAGATGAGGATGGGAATGTGAGGGCAGTAAGTAGATGCAGTATATGTTTATATTTACATAATATTTACATTTACATAATTTAAAGATACTATGTGGATGTCCAACTGATCAAATCAGCCACTTGTCTTGGAGAACATCTCTAGATGACCTCCATTTTATGGGACTGCCTTTTAGGTTGATGGTGCTCAACCATGGAACGAGAGCTTATTATTATAGACGAATATATCATAACTGCCAACATTAAGCAAAACATCAGGGGAGTGGTGAATGTATAGCCCCATCCCAAACGTGGTGCCACCTAATGTGGCCCTTTCTTACCTGATATTTCTAGTAAATTTTAATCAATACTGCTGTTTCACTCCTGATGTTTTCATGTTGGAAGACGTAAGAGAGATCCTATGCTTTACTGTCATGTTTCTCTTTTGGATTTTGTACGACTATGCATGAACTCATATACTCTCATCGTAAAGTCCTTCATAGGACCAAGTACCATTCTCCTCAAGCATTGTATTCCATCATATTAATTGTTTCACACTTTGGCATGTCTTTCTTGCAGAGGGGACAATCCAGTCAGAGTTAAAGACAACTAAATCCCATTGATCTCAGTGGAGCAAACATATGTACATTAAGATTACCAGACATCCCCATTTCCCAGGGACACTCCCCAGATTTACAAATCAGTCCCCTGACAAAATCCATCTAGGAAGTTGAAAAGGGTCCCTGGATTCATTGAAAAAAATCTGGTGACCTTAATATACATGCTTAATTCTCCTATTGAAATCAGTGGGAGTTTAAAACACTGACTTTGGCTGGTTCACGTCCAAGTGTTTCTCCACATTGTTCATATTTTTGCACACATAAAAAAACAACCCTGTTCCTTTCTTTTATTTAATTGTCCAAGGCTATTTTAGCAGCCCAAGGGCAGTATCATCTTGCTTGCTAGTTTTAGACTGTAGATCAGTCTGGTGGCCACTTACCAAATGCTCTTCCATTGTTATCATTTAAACATAGAATCCTATTTTAACTTCAGTATGTCGTTTTTGCTCAGCCTGGTGACAAATGGACATTGCTGGATCAATGTCACACTGTGACATGCTTCCCGGGTGGCCGCACAGCTCTGGAGAGCCATGGAATTAATTGTGAGAAGATGCCCAGACCAACATGTCGCAACAGTCTCCCTGCTATTAAAGTAGAGGAAACATGCGGCTGCCGTTGGGTGTGTCCATGTGAGTAGGTTGTTCAGCTGCCTTTTCATCCTCCCTCAGGTGTGATCGGTACTTGACAGAGTGAACGAGGGCAGTTTAAGAAACAGGCAGGAGAGTTTCAGCTTACCTGACCTTAACACATAGAGCGAAGCAACACATCTTTACAAATGATCAGTTAAATTAGACTCTATACGTCTATAAGTAGAGGATACGTGTGAAAGCAGGTAGCTTGGAAGAAAGCTGAAAGTGGCACTAGGAAGGCGTGGGTTGGCAGGTCGAAAACTGCTCACTTTCAGGAGCCGGGCTGCAGACAGCAGCTTTCTCTCAACCATTGCCAGCTGGCTCCTCTTGCCACCTGCAATTGTGGTACTAAAGCGCAGTAGAGGACTGGCACAGTGGGATAGAGAGCAAGGCACCAGAATCCAACCGCTGTTTCCCCTGTTGCTTTGCCTGTCAACAAAGAGAAGATTCAGGGAGCAGTGGCATAGCGTGGGGGGTGCAGGGGGGGCCGGCCGCACCGGGCGCAACATCTGGGGTTAGGGCAAATCCACAGGTTAGGGGGCGCAAATCCACGGGTTAGGGGGCGCAAATTACTTGCCTTGCCCCGGGTGCTGACAACCCACGGTACGCCACTGTCAGGGAGGTAGCCGTGTTGGTCTGACGCAGTTGAAATAAATAAACAAATTAAATAATTGCCCAGTAGCACCTTAGAGAGCAACTAAGTTTGTTCTGGGTATAAGCTTTCGTGTGCATGCACACTTCTTCAGATACCTTCAGAGAGGCTATTTGAAGAAGTGTACATGCGCACAAAAAGGGACGCGGGTGGCGCTGTGGGTTAAAGCCTCAGCGCCTAGGACTTGCCGATCGAAAGGTCGGCAGTTCGAATCCCTGCGGCGGGGTGCGCTCCCGTTGCTCGGTCCCAGCGCCTGCCAACCTAGCAGTTCGAAAGCACCCCCAGGTGCAAGTAGATAAATAGGGACCGCTTACTAGCGGGAAGGTAAACAGCGTTCCGTGTGCTGCGCTGGCTCGCCAGATGCAGCTTGTCACGCTGGCCACGTGACCCGGAAGTGTCTGCGGACAGCGCTGGCCCCCTGCCTATAGAGTGAGATGGGCGCACAACCCTAGAGTCTGTCAAGACTGGCCCGTACGGGCAGGGGTACCTTTACCTTTTACATGCACACGAAAGTGTATACAGTAATACCTCCGCAAACATCCGCCTCGTCTAGCGTCCATTCCGGTGAACGTCCGCAGCAAACCCAGAGGCACCAGAACGGGTTTGCCACTTGCGCATGTGCAGAACCACTCCGTGCATGTGCGCAGACGCAGCACTTTGCCTTGCGTCCTTTTTGGCTAGCAGCCGGGGCTCTGGAACAGATCCCAGTCGCAAAACAAGGTACGACTGTACCCAGAACAAACTTAGTTGGTCTCTAAGGTGCTACTGGACAATTTTTTATTTTTTAATTTATTTCTACAAAGAGAAGGTTTGCTTAAAATGGTCAGGTCCCCTGATGGTCGTTTTTGTTTTCTTCCTTCCGCTTTACAGGCACCTGCATGGGAAGCTCAACCAGGCATATTGTCACCTTCGATGGACTGGATTTCAAACTGACAGGCAATTGTTCCTACACATTGTTTGAAGACAAAGAACATGATATTGAAGTTGTTCTTCGCAACAGGCCTTGCAGTTTAACCCCAAGATTCAATTGCATGAATGCCATGGCGATCACATACAAGGGCTCGTCTGTGCTGCTCTTCAGCAACATGACGGTAAGCCATTGTAGTGGGAATAATGCTTGACTGGGGACTAGATAAGCAGCTTAGAGTTGTGGTATAGCCAATGAAAAAGAAACGAGCCTGGGGATGGTGTTCAACTAAGGTTTACTCAAGGTAGACCCATTGAAATTAATGGACCTAGTCACATTCCTTCATGCCACTGGGTCTACTTTGAGTATACTTTGGCTGAATACAACCTTGAATCTTGCAGCTGGCTAGAAGGAACCTTGGAAGATCTCCACCATATTGAAATAAAATGGCAGTTGGTCTCCAAACATTTGATGAAGAGCATTGTCCTCCACTTGGGAAGCCTAGTGCCAAAACAATACCTCAAGAGGCAGCTGAACCTAAGCCCAAAAAACGGGAGCCAAAGTGACATTTCGGTTGACCATCTTGATTCAAAATGGCAGCCAGCGTCCCAACAAACACCGCTACCCCCACTTCCAGAACACCCTTGCCAAATTTAGCTGTGATCTCTCAAGAGCTGGCTTAACCTATAGAAAACAAAGAAATAGACGGACAGACAAATCATTTCCCCAAATTTATATTATATGTAAAAACCAGTTCCCAACGTTCAATCTCTTTCCATTGTCACCCAAAGCAGAACCTGGGACTGGGCTATGTTTACAAGAGCAGTCTTGATTCTCAGTGGCTGAGACCAGGGCTGACATTTCCTAGGGGCGCAAGGGGTACGGGACACCCGGGCGCCGAATTCTGGGGGGCGCCAGGCACCCGCCGCTGAAGCTGCCTAAGCTCTTAACTATCTACCTGTTATGAAATAATAAGTAATTTTGATCAAGCTAGAAAAACAAAATACATATATACCTAGGTATTACCGAAATGTATACCTACTGTTTCACTAAAGGGCATTCGACTTTGTGTGCTCATTTACCAAAGACGCGCTGCACCAGCAGCGGTGCTTGTCATTCACAACAGCAGCGTTTGACTCAGCGATGACGCTTGTCATTCTTAACAGCGCTGCGCGCACAAAATTAAATCTTACATTATGTTATGAATTGTATTGAGCTGCTACGCAGCAGCAGGGTCAGCGGCACCTTTGACACAACTGATGTTTCTCCTAAGTAGGTGCCTAAACAATACTTAGAAGTTTAAGTGTGGTGGTGTTGTATACTTAAGTATAAGTGTATTGTAAATAAATGAGCAAATAAAAAAGTTTGTTTCTTTTTCCTCCCTTCTTTCATGAACAAGAGATAAGGCTTAAGCGTGGTGTCTGACATAAGCATAATAAAAGTTAATTTGGGGGCTAAACTAAATTTGGGGGCGCTGGGCGGATCTTTGCACATCGGCGGCGCATATGCTAAAGATTGCACTGGCTGAGATCTTGGGGGAGTGGAGAGTGTATAGCCCCCATCCCAAATGTGGTGACCACATAATGTAGCCCTTTCCTGTCCCCCAAATGAGTCAGTCATTCACCTTAATCACCCAGTGCTTTACCAGTTGCACTGGCTCCCGGTGGAGTATAGGGTCAGGTTCAAGGTGCTGGTCTTGACCTTTAAAACCCTTTGTGGCTTAGGGCCCTTGTATTTACGGGACCGCCTCTCCTGCTCTGCCCCGCAGAGGACCTTAAGGTCCATGAATAACCATAGTTTAGAGGTCCCGGGCCCTAAGGAAGTCAGACTGTCCTCTGCCAGGGCCTTTTCAGTGATGTCTCCGACCTGGTGGAATGCTCTGTCCCAGGAGACTAGGGCCCTTCAGGATTTAACCTCCTTCCGTCGGGCCTGTAAGACAGATCTATTCCACCTGGCCTTTAATTTGAATTCAGCCTGATCTTTTATTTCCCTTCTCTTCCCTCCCTCTCCCCTTTTATGAAGATTACCTGCTCTGAGACCCCACAGCTAATTCTCCCCTGGCCTCCTCGCTGGCCCAAGTTCAGCCAGCTAGCCCTGGGGATTATCTAATGCTTATTTCCCCTAAATTGATTTCTGAATTTTGAATTTTATTGTTATCCATGTTTTTATACTGTATTTTATGCTGCTTTTACAATTAAGTGTTTTAAATTTGTTGTTAGCCGCCCTTAGCCCAGTTTTTGAACCAGGAAGAGCGGGGTATAAATAAAAAATTATTATTATTATTATTATTATTATTATTAATCGTCTACATTACCCTCAAAGCAATTCACAACAATGCATGGAAACAACAAGAAGCTTTTCTCAATTTTTTCAAACAGGTTGCTGTGAATGGCAAAACAACTAATGTTCCTTATGCCGACGGTCATGTTGCAGTCAATGTCTATGGAGCAATAATGCACGAAATCCGGTTCTCTCTTCTGGGTCACATCCTCTCCTTCACTCCAAGCAACAATGAATTTACTTTACAACTTAGCCCAAAGAGCTTCGCTTCAGAAACGCATGGCCTTTGTGGTATGTTAGAAAATTACACTTTGGGTGGTTTTCAGGTAGTTATCCGGTAAGGGTTTTTAGTGTTTTAAATGGTGGGCGAGCAAATCATATCAACTCAGCACGGGCTTTTCCAGGGCAAAACAAGAACAACAAGAACAAGAACTGGGGCAAAACCAGAACAAGAACAACAAGAATTGATTATTTATATACTGCCCATCTGACTGGATTGCCCCAGCCACTCTGGGCAGCTCCCAACAAAAATAATAAAAACACAACACAACATCAGAACAAAAAACACTCGGACGTGCAGCTTCAAAGCCCAGACCTTTGCCTAGAAGTCTGGATGAGCCCTCTCTAGAAATAGTGTGCATTGGAGCTGGCATAAACCAACTCTCGCCATTCTCAGAAACCTTCTAGGAACTTTTGATTAGAATTGTGTCTGCCGCTCAACCTAAAATACAGAAAATGTGTAGGGGGTGTAGCATTAGGTGAAGCAAATTTGAAGGGTCCTCTTCAGGTGAAATGGCTGTAGCAATTTTGAGATGGGCCTAACATAGTTTTGGTAGGATTAGCAAACGTTTTCAAGTATGGGTCTTATACATATTCTAAGTTCAATTCCCTGTTGGAGTTAACTAACTTCTAAAGCTAAGATACTATAAAATTCTCTTCTGTCCCTCTCCTGTAGGGATCTGTGACCAAAACAGTGGCAATGACTTGGTGCTAAGAAATGGCTCCTTTACATCCGACAGCAGCCTCTTCATTGAAGAATGGACAGTGAAGCAGCCAGGGGAGATCTGTGAGGTGAACAGAGCTGGCCAATGCGTTGGCCATGCCACGACAAAGTGCAGCATCTTGCTGTCTCCTCAGTTTTACGAATGTCACCAAATCATTCCTCCAAACTTGTACTATGCAGCTTGTGAAGAAAACAACTGCTATGGTGATGAAATATGTGAGATCATCTCTTCCTACGCACATCTCTGCAGGATGCAAAGGATCTGTGTGGATTGGAGATCTCCAGAGTTTTGTGGTAAGGATTTCACTGCTTCTTGCAGAAATACAATCTTCAGTAATCCAACTTGGTCTTTGAGCTGCCTCAAGGTTCCGAACACAATATTTAAGCTTTAGAGGTGGGGTGGGGAAGGGCAGGTTGGCCATTCCCCCTCTTGACTACCATCACAGACAACACAGACACATGTATGACGCACACACAGGTGTGAAACGTATGCCTTTTAATTCAGACTGTTGTCCTCCCTGCTTATAACTGATTTTGATTTTGCTGCCTCCCAGCAGTAACCATGCAAATATGTCTACAAGTTCATAAGCAGGGTGTGAAGAAAGTAGCCCTACACTCTGGTTTCTTCCCAGCTTTTGATATTCAGAGAAATACTACTTTGGACGTGGAGGCTGGTTTTGTTTTGTTTCTATTATTAAACCATCCTCACTAATAGCTGTGGTTAGATTGGTTGTTTACACTGACTGTGGTAACTCCTTTACAAAGATGACTAAGGGTGAAACGAAATACAATTAAATGCATGCAATTAACCGTGGTGAGAATTGCTCTTTGAAATTCAGTTGGAGGTTTGGTAAGCCACACCTTGATTTGGATCCTCCCACACTTTCTCTTTGCTGGGGCAGAGAGAGCTCCCTTTTTTCTCAAGTTAACCCTTCCCCTTCCCGCTCCAATGGAGTCAACCATCATGGGCTCCCCAGTCTTGACTGGGACCTACACCTATTGCCAATCAACTTGATTGGGTTATTCTGAATCCTAGTATTATGACGAAAGGAGAATGCTTTCTGTTCACTCTTCCCATCCCACTCATAATTTGCTGTCTCTAGCATATCCAGCCTCTTTATGCCTCAACCTTTTCTCACAGAGAGGGTGCTCCAACCCTTTGCTCAGTTTTGCGGGCTTATGTGGGAAATACATGTGATTGCCACTGGCAGTGGAGGAGCTTCATGCTCTGGCACCGGGGGGCAGAGAGTAGGCAGGGGCGGGGCTGGCGCGCATCCCAGGGGCATGATGCCCCCCCACAGGGGCGTGGCACGCATCCTAGGGGCGTGGCACGCCACCTGCGGGGGCATGTCACCCAGCATGGGCGGGGGAGGCAGCCCCGATGGCACTGCACCAGGATCACGCTGCTGGGGGCAGTGCGCTCCCCCCGCACTCCTCTTCCTCCACCAGTGGCCATTGGTAGTCTAAATTGATACCAAGCTCTGCTTTCTAAGGCTAGAAGATGGTTGTTGAGCTTTCACCCCGGAAAGTTGAAAACTGCTGGTCGTGGTATCATCTCACATTTGCTCTAGAGGGGGTGAGCCAGGAAATGTAACAAACCCTTCCTCTTCAGAGGCAGCATACCTTGGAATACCTAAGGCAGTTGTCCATGCTTTATTTCTGGACTTCTCATGACCCATATTTGGTCATTGTTGGAAACATGAAGATTGACTAAGTGGACCCGTGATCTTCTAAGACTCTTCTTATGTTCCAGTTTCAAAAATCCATTTGGTCTGAGCAGGGCCATCTTAAGTATATCCGGCGCCGTGGTGCAAAGATCCCTCTGGTGCCCCGCCCCCCGTTTCCCAGAGTTGCCAACCTTTTGCAGCACTGCCAGAAGCTTTGCAGGGCTGGAGGAGGTGGGCAGTGGCTGGAGGGTGGCTCCGGGTGCGGTGCTGCTTCAGCGAGGCGGGCGAGGGCAGCGAGCTGATGCCAGGAAGCGCTGCGCCCAGCCTCCACCTCTTCCCTGGCGCCCTCCAGAACTTGGCGCCCTGGTGCCCCGCGCCACTTGCCTCTATGGGCAAGACACCCGTGGGCCTGAGATGCCAGTAAATAAAAAGTGACTATCTTCAACAGGAAATTGAGAGAAATTGACTTGAGAGCAGTACATGTGAAAAGGATCTAGGAGTCTTGGTTGACCACAAACTTGACATGAGCCAACAGTGTGACGCGGCAGCTAAAAAAGCCAATGCAATTCTAGGCTGCATCAATAGGAGTATAGCATCTAGATCAAGGGAAGTAATAGTGCCACTGTATTCTGCTCTGGTCAGACCTCACCTGGAGTACTGTGTCCAGTTCTGGGCACCACAATTCAAGAAGGACACTGACAAACTGGAACGTGTCCAGAGGAGGGCAACCAAAATGATCAAAGGCCTGGAAACGATGCCTTATGAGGAACGGCTAAGGGAGCTGGGCATGTTTAGCCTGGAGAAGAGGAGGTTGAGGGGTGATATGATAGCCATGTTCAAATATAGAAAAGGATGTCATATAGAGGAGGGAGAAAGGTTGTTTTCTGCTGCTCCAGAGAAGCGGACACGGAGCAATGGATCCAAACTACAAGAAAGAAGATTCCACCTAAACACTAGGAAGAACTTCCTGACAGTAAGAGCTGTTTGACAGTGGAATTTGCTGCCAAGGAGTGTGGTGGAGTCTCCTTCTTTGGAGGTCTTTAAGCAGAGGCTTGACAACCATATGTCAGGAGTGCTCCGATGGTGTTTCCTGTTTGGCAGGGGGTTGGACTCGATGGCCCTTGTGGTCTCTTCCAACTCTATGATTCTATGATTCTATGATTCTATGATTCTATGAAATTAAGTGTCTTTTACATCACTTTGTTTTCTTAAAAACAATAGGCTGTCTCCAAGACAAATCTTGGATATAAATTTTGAATATTTCATAATTCTCTTGTTTACTGTTAACTCCCACTGCTCTACTGATCTGCCCTCTTTCTCCCTAGAAGGACACAGTGAAGGGTGTTCCCCTGTACAGTATTGCTCTTTTCCCTCTCACTCTTTATAATATTCCTCTGTTACTCAGCCACACAAGCCTGCACATAAAATAACCACAGCCTGAAAGGTTGGTGCAACCACAACAAAAGGTGCAGTCTAGTCTCCGCCTTGCAAGTATATGAAGTATATGAAAAACACATCTCTGTGTTTTTGGTGGTGTCATTTGTCCTTCAGACCCAAGCAGAGAAGAAATTGAAAGCGAATTTAGGCAGAATGAAATAGATTTCAGTTCTTAGAGAACTGCACAAGACGTATTTGAGAAGACACTGTTATTGTAGCCTAGTGTTTTCAGAAACTACCTACTGCAAATACTCCATAAGGAATAATCTGAGAAAAAGAGAGAGAGGGAGAATGAGAGAGAAAGCACTGCCTGCCATTTCCTGGATTTAGTGAGAAAGCCAGCTTTCCCGTCATAGCATCCAAGGCTCAGGCATTTTAATAACCTCTCTGAATTCCTCGGATTCTCAGCTTTTGACATAGCCACATACAGCCAAAGAACTCCCCAATTTAACTACCAGTTCGCATAAAGTAGTCTTTGGTGTATTAACAATGGCATCTTCTTTCCCTGTTTCTTAGGAGCAGGTGCATGTCTTAGGGTGGCCAGGAATAGCATTGTCAATTACAAGGACATTGTGCAGAATACACAAATGACTCAGTGGACAGCATTGCTTAATCACTGTAACACTGCAGACCAATAAAAATACGTATAGGTTTACCAAACCTAATTTAACCTACTTCTGCAGATCTCTGTTTGAGAACTAGTTAATTCCTGGAGCTGCAATGTAATTCTTCATGGAGCTCCCACCAGGTTGCGGTACTGCTGTTGCATTTGTTGTCACACCCCTTAAGACCAGGGAGAAGAAGCGATCTTAAAGGTGGGTGGGCAGATGGAAAGCAGGGGTTCGCAACTGTCCTTATTCATAAGGCAAATGGTTTGTTGTTGTTTAGTTGTTTAGTCATGTCCGACTCTTCGTGACCCCATGGACGAGAGTACGCCAGGCACTCCTGTCTACCACTGCCTCCCGCAGTTTGGTCAGACTCATGCTGGTAGCTTCAAGAACACTGTCCAACCATCTTGTCCTCTGTCGTCCCCTTCTCCTTGTGCCCAACATCAGGGTCTTTTCCAGGGAATCTTCTCTTCTCATGAGGTGGCCAAAGTATTGGAGCCTCAGCTTCAGGATCTGTCCTTCCAGTGAGCACTCAGGGCTGATTTCCTTCAGAATGGAGAGGTTTGATCTTCTTGCAGTCCATGGGACTCTCAAGAGTCTCCTCCAGCACCATAATTCAAAAGCATCAATTCTTTGTCAATCAGCCTTCTTTATGGTCCAGCTCTCACTTCCATACATCACTACTGGGAAAACCATAGCTTTAACTATACAGACCTTTGTTGGCAAGGTGATGTCTCTGCTATTTAAGATGCTGTCTAGGTTTGTCATTGCTTTTCTCCCAAGAAGCAGGCGTCTTTTAATTTCGTGGCTGCTCTCACCATCTGCAGTGATCATGGAGCCCAAGAAAGTAAAATCGCTCATAGCCTCCATTTCTTCCCCTTCTATTTGCCAGGAGGTGATGGGACCAGTGGCCATGATTTTCGCTTTTTTGATGTTGAGCTTCAAACCATATTTTGCACTCTCCTCTTTCACCCTCATTAAAAGGTTCTTTAATTCCTCCTTACTTTCTGCCATCAAGGTTGTGTCATCTGCATATCTGAGGTTGTTGATATTTCTTCCGGCAATCTTAATTCCGGCTAGGGATTCATCCAGCCCAGCCTTTCGCATGATGAATTCTGCATATAAGTTAAATAAGCAGGGAGACAATATACAGCCTTGTCATACTCTTTCCCCAATTTTGAACCAATCAGTTGTTCCATATCCAGTTCTAACTGTAGCTTCTTGTCCCACATAGAGATTTCTCAGGAGACAGATGAGGTGATCAGGCACTCCCATTTCTTTAAGAACTTGCCATAGTTTGCTGTGGTCGACACAGTCAAAGGCTTTTGCATAGTCAATGAAGCAGAAGTAGATGTCTTTCTGGAACTCTCTAGCTTTCTCCATAATCCAGCGCATGTTTGCAATTTGGTCTCTGGTTCCTCTGCCTCTTCTAAATCCAGCTTGCACTTCTGGGAGTTCTTGGTCCACATACTGCTTGAGCCTGCCTTGTAGAATTTTAAGCATAACCTTGCTAGCGTGTGAAATGAGTGCAATTGTGCGGTAGTTGGAGCATTCTTTGGCACTGCCCTTCTTTGGGATTGGG